AATATAAATAAAGAAATAAATAACCCAATATACCACGAATTAAGCAACATCTACACAGAACAACATAACAACACCCCACCAAGTACCCCCACCACATCTACGCCCACAACATCATAACTCACTCAAAACGAAGACAGCACACACACACATACCCAGCAGGTCCAGCAGTATAACACACGCAGTCACAGGAGCGAGACGCAACATAAAGCACAGTGAGTATTAAACATTAAAATTATAATACCACAAGTAATAGATAGGATGCGGAACGCGGTATTAATGAATAACAAATTCATGTTACAAATACACGATAGTGAAAGAGTGCTCCAACAGACGATGATAGACATGACTCGCGTAATGAAACACGACGTAAGAATGAAATATGCTGTATAATTTTAATATTTTAACACTTAACATTTATCAGTATATATGATAAATATATATTTTAGTTATTTTAGTATGTATAGACAAGGCATGCAACGAACTAGTTTGTCGTGGATTGGATCAGCACCTGAAGATGGCACATTTGTGCCGAAACATGTAGTGAGAGTGAGAAGAGGGGATAGATGAATGTATGCACTGGAAGATGGATAAAATAAATCAGTTACTAAAGGAACATGAAAGTCAAATTTCTGGTGGGTATTGTTGCTTGTAACCTTATGAACCAGTCTTTTAAGCAGTCCCAGTCTGGACTGTATTTTGATCTTTAGCATTATGACACCGTATAGTCTGGTAGATGATTACTTTTCTTGGAGGAACCAGCTACTTCCATCTTCAGGTACTTGTGAAATGTTGGTACATATCTATGAAATTACATATCATTAAATCCCAGAAGACAGTAAGTATCGTTGTCATCATTGTGAAAACCTGAAATATCAGTCTCTCTTTTGGGGGTGCTCTTTTGCATTTCATTTCCAATTCCAGAGTTCTTCGGGATGTTCTATTTGTATCTGTCCATTAAACACTTCTAAATAATTTTAAGCTTTTCACATTTCTTTTAAGCATCCAAAATTCATATCCATCACTTGTGTTTTACTTTTATCTATTTCAGATATAGATTTCAGAACATACTATTTGTTTAAAGTGTGTCCTGTGTATTCACAATTTGCATTATTTTGGACACATGCCACCTCTGATGAAATTATGAACTTAACCTTCTGAAGCCTACAGTTCTTCTAAATAGTACTGAAGAATTCAGCTTCTGTCTCACACAAAGAACATTACATATTGGCTGTGATGGTGCATTGGTTCCAGCAGCACTGCAGGGTGTTCTTTGCAGAGGAGTCAGTTGGTTGGTGTAGCAGTTGAATGCCTGCCTCAGTGCCCATTTAGGCTACTTTTAATGGCCTGTTCTCCTTTGATTAGAGCAGTCCCCAGACACGTTTCATGTGAACAGTTCTCATATAAGGATAACCATAACCTAATAAAATTTCAATTCCATTTTTATGTCAGAGTATTTTGAAGTGTTCTGTTAGTGAATGTTATTAATAAAGAATTTATTTATGTTTCAGTGGCCAATGGTGTATACCAAAACACTGTGTTTGGAATGGCAGCAAAATTGCCATCTAAATATACTGGAGCTGTTATTCTTGGCACTGTAAGTATAAACAGTACTATCTGTCTGTCTTTATTCCTTTTGCTCCCACTTGGAGCATAGGGCATCAGTGAAACGTTTTGTTTTACTTAAGTCGGTATGACTCCTTGGATGGGGGATCAGCCCGTTGCAAAGCTACTAGCTACACAGGACAACACAGACAGAATAATAAATGCTGACAGACATCAATGCCATGAGTGGAATTTGAGCCCATGATCCCAGTTTTTGAGTGGGCATAGACATTCCATACCTTAGACTGCTCAGCCACTGTGATCTACACATACAGTACTAAATTAAGTTAAAGAATTTGAAAAGTCATGACAGTAGGCTGACCGTGTCAAAATATGAAATACTTATAAGGGATGTGAGAAATACAAAGCTTTATTCAGCAGAGCCTGAAAAGGCTTTTATGAGGTCTAGGTGTAAAAAGTTAAGAGCTTTGTTTGCTTAGTTTTGTACCACACCATGAAACTTTATGGGGGAGGGGGTATAGATCCTCAGATTCTTAACCTCAGCACTAGATGGAGGCATGTGGGAGGCTTCACCTCACAGCCACCTTACCTACAAGGAAAGAGCCCCCAGATATCCCTTAGATAGGAGGCTGGGTAGGACCCAGAGTCAATCATGCTGTGTGGAAGAAAAATATTTATGCCTTTGCGGGGACTTGAATGCAAGTTCCCATCTAGTTTTTTATTCGCATAGTGGGGGGTGGAATCCAGCTGGGTCCACTCAGCATCTCGACCACTGATTGGCCTATTGTACCTGCCCCAGATGATTATGATGATGGAGAATTTGGTGGAACGAAGATTGGCAGGGGAACCGAAGTACTCGGAGAAAACTTGCCCCAGCGCCACTTTGTCCACCACAAATCTCACTTGACCAGACTCAGGCTCCAACCTGGGCCACCACGGTGGGAAGCCAGCGACTAACCGCTTTAGCTATGGCGTGGCTTATGGACTAAGTTACTATACTGATTAAAGTGTTAGATGTGAGAATAGTATTAAATGGAATCATAAACTTTCACCTTGAGTTGGATTTCTTTTTTATTCAGGTTATGTTGTCAATAGGATTTTACTAACTCAAGTACAAATGTAATTGGCATTCTTATTTCTCAATGTGTATTGAGGTCTAGACACATGACGGTATGTTTCATTTCTCAGGCACTGAGAGTAATTTAATACAGTCTGAGATGTTCTTTCTTCTTTGGTTTCAGAATGTTAGTGGCACGTTTACTGCAATAATTAATGTGGTATCTAAAATTATGTCTCCCAATGAAAGAACTGCTGCCATCTACTACTTCATCACGGCGCTTTTTGTTCTCTTAGCATGTTTTGATACATACTTTGCTCTGCCATTGAATGTAAGTACAGTGACACACTGGTTTGTTTGTCAAGAGTAAAATCTGTCATATAATAATTTGGTTGAGGCACTGTGCTACAAGCCAGATGGTCATGGGTTAAAGTCCTCATGAGGTCATTGAATTTTCTTTCAATTGACCTAATCCTTCCAGCCATACTATGGCCCTGGAGTTGACTCAGCCTCTAACGGAAATGTGTACCAGGAATATTCTTCGAATAATCTTGGGGGTAAACGGCAGCCGGCACGTAGGGCTGACAACCTTGCCGCCATCTATGAGCCGATTGTCTAGAAAATGTGGGAACCTCAACATCTCACAACCCTATGGGCCTTCACGGCCTGTTACAGCAATACCTTTACTTTACTTACTTTTATAATAATCTGGTAAAATAAAAACTATAATTTTTTACTTACTGCTTGATATGGATATGAAGCATTCTATCTGACTTTCAATTTTGTGGTTGCTTGCATAGCATTCTTGCTTTGATTCAGGAGGTCTCAGGTTCAAATCTTGACCAAGAGATTGGCTGTCATGACAGGTTTTCATAATGTCCCTCGAGGCAAATTTCAGGATAGTGCCTCAAAACATACCACAACTGCTATTGCATTGCTTCCATTTTGTTATTCACTCATCATTCCATTTTTTGACACTGTGTAGTCTTAGCTGCTTACAGCTTCATTAAATAAACTGTAATAAAAATAAGTTGTCCTGGTTTTAAGGGAGTAGTGTGGCAATATTATATTTAAGCATCCTGTTGCACTCTACACGATAAATGATACAAACTCTGTCCCAAGTGCAAACAATGTATATTATATGTCTTTGATCTTGCTCTCTTCTACACTACATGTTTCGGCCTCTAACGGCCATCATCAGGTGTATACTCTTATGTTGCTGCCACACTGAACCCAGTCTAAAATTTAACATTTAAAAAACACACTGTTATTTTCTTCGTTATTATCAACATCTACCTCGTTGATATCTGTCTGATATGTAGATTATTTTGCACACGTCAATTTTGATTTTCCTGTAGTAGCACTATAAAATCTTTAGTTATAATTTTAAAATCCTTTAAAATTTGTTTTTTCTCTAAATTTAAAATTTAAAATTGTTAGGGTTACTCGCCCTATGTCTAAAGTGCTGCAGAGGCTAGTTCTTGTTTCCACACTGTACAGGTGTTATTCTGTGTAGTCTTCCTGTGTGCGTGCCGCTACTTGTCTTTACTACATGTAAAGACAAGTAGCGGCACTTGTGTAGCAGTAGTGTGGATTGAAGGTGTTAGTGAAGAGTGGTGACAGAAGAGTGTTTGGAGCTAAGACAGAGTTACAAGATGCTGGCCAGATTAATAATGAGGAACTCACAATTTATATTCCACCAAATATTATTAGTGTGATGAAATTAAGGAGGATGAGAAGGGGTGACACAGGGAAAGAAGAGATTCATACAAAATTATGCTTGCAGGACGTTATGGGAAGAACACCTTGAGACCTCTAAGGATAATATTAAAACAGATCTTGGACAAAAGGGGAATGATGATGTGCATTGGGTTTAACTGGCTAAGGATAAATTGGTGGTGGGATGCTTTAATTATATTAATGGATCTTTATGTTGGATTTTGTGAGATTTGATTTTGCCATGATGATAACTGATCAGACATTGTGTAGCCTGATGGAAGTTTACTGATGTTTGAGAGGAACATTCTGCTTCCATCATCAGGGTTGAAGGGTAAGCAAAGCAAACATCAAGATGGAGGTGGCAGTGTGTTCCTGTTAAACATATGTGAACTACCAGACTGCATGGTGTCAGATCATATACTGACAGCATCATTAAATAAATGGAAGAAATATAGAAAGTAATCCCTGAAGACGTATTCTTCAGCCTCAGTGTTTGATTAGAGAAAGGAACTTTTTTGATCAGTTGAAGAAGGCTCAGTTTTTCAGTTAAGATCCTGCATCATGGAATTGATATTTGGTGAGCTGTAAGGTGACCCACTGAATGCTTAATGTTTATTTCAGAGATTTTACCGATATCATGAATTGCTGCATGAAAAGGAACAACAGGCAAAGAGGAAACAGAGTTTGAACGCGGTTCCTGACACGCCGTATTTCGCCATCCTGAAACAATGCCTCCCACAGTGCTTTAATGTGTTCTTTGTGTTTTTTGTAACACTTACTATTTTTCCTGCAGTGCATTCAGGTGAGTTGTACATGCTGCATATTTACATTTATGGTCAGCAAAAACAATCAGTTTATATTTTTCATCTAAATTTACGTGCTGAAGATGGATGTGACATACAGGACACACAAAAGAAAACAAATTTATACAAAGTTTTGGTTGGAAAATATCTTTTGAAGAGGCCTGTGAATCTTTCACTCTCTGAGAGCACTTAACCCTTGAAGACATAGTGATTGCTATGTCTGCTCTCTGCTTGAACCTTAGAAAACCACATTTTGCACAAAGAGCATGTTTATGGTTTCTTTTTGTGATTCTCAGAATAAACAGTGATTATTCCTGTGAACACAATTAATTGTTTGTTTGTTTTTGTAATAGAGACAGTGTTTTTCTGTGAGGTATGAACTGTGTCTTTAAAAACTAGTTAGATGAATTTCAGGGTTCGAAGATTTAAGTGTGTTTTTAAGAAGGTTGCTTCCCCTTGCCTGAGACTTACTGGCAGACTGTACAGTGAATATCGATTGCTGTTGTGTGTATCATTTGGAAGGAGCCAGTAGAGAGGTGTGATGATGCAACAGAAGAATATATTGTCTTGAAATATTGTGCAGTTAAAATGTTAAACAAATATGTATCTTCTGTTAATGTCATTTTATGTAGAAAGTGACTGTGGGTGGATGTGTTGTGCTGCTTTCGTTGTTTTAATGTGTGATTTTATATATCTCTGCATTCTGACAAACTGTTTATTTTAATTATAATTTTATACAGTTGCAAGATGAATCTAACATGAAATATCAGTTAAATGAAATAACAAATTTCATTAAATTAATCTCTTCTGCAGTTTTATGCTTTCTTTGTAATTTTATATATATATTTACATCTGGTAATGGTTATTTAATGGCTGAAACTTGTGAAACTGACTGCATCTATAGAAATAAAATTTGTATGACTGTATGCAATGACCATTTATGACCATTGATAAGCTACATTTTTTTTTGTTTGATGGAAACTTGTAAAATAAACAGTTGCAACTGAGAGCCTGAAATTTGATATGGATACAGATCATGAATTAACCTAAAAATGTATACATTTTTTATATATTAAAAATTGTGGTAACTCAGTACAGTTTTCTAGTTATATCACATGACTTTGACATACATTGATGCCATAATTATTAATTTGTAGTTACTACTGGCATACATACCTATTAATCCAATCATCTAATCGGTCATTATATTTGTTGCAGAAATTAAAATATCAGACGAAAATAATTTCTTTACTGGAGATCGCTTCTATAGTGATGTGACTTGTTTCCTAACATTCAACATCTGTGCAGTGATCGGGAGTACATTGGCCACGCGGATAACATGGGTAAGGCGGATCTCAGTCTTAAAGTGAAGAGTTTGAGGGTGGATTCTCACATAGAGTACAGTTACAGTTTTATGACCATTCGTAAGCACCGTTTGTGGGCCGTGGATGTCTGAAGTATAGCGATTCTAAACTATTTAATCATAAATAGCATCGGTATTGGTGGCTTATGGTGTTTATTTTACTTGAAGAATATATTCTTAGGAAATAGTGATAGGAGTCTGTGGAATTAAATTAGACGTTAGAAGTCTGGATTTTAAGCATTTGAATAAAATTTGATGTAATAAGAATAAGAGTGATGTAGTTAGATGCTGTCTTCTTACCATGGACTGTTGGTTCATTTCTGGGTTACTTAATTTTTGGTTGATGAAGTAACAGTCGAACGGGTATTTCTCTGAGGTTCTTAAGTTTCCTCCTGCTCATCATTCCACTGACTGCCTCTGTGGTCTGGTGTCCAGAGTTCCTGGCTAGAGATCCAGAGGTCCCAGGTTCGATTCCTGGTGCTACCAGATTTTCTGAGAGGTAGTGGGTCTGGATTGGGGTCCATTCAGCCTCATGAGGATAATTGAGGAGCTATTTGAAGAAAATAGCGGCTCCAGTCTAGAAAACCGAAATTAACGGCCATGGGGATTCATTGCCCTGACCATGCATCACCCTCTACCCGCTAAATTTGGCACTAACTTCGCTGACAAGCAGCGGTTGCTCGGTCAGTGTAGTTTGCGTGCAGACCAAAACCTCGGGGTTTGTTTGTTTGTTTTTTTCTTCCCCGTATTCATCTGTCACCATCCTGTATGGTCTGCAGTATTCCTGACCAGGCAGCACATTGTCATATTCTTGGTCGTTCAGGGTGGGGCTTCATCTCTGACTCAGCATTTGGCTGGTTATGGAGTGAGGAAGTCTTTTTTCTTTTTCACATGTCCTCAGTTCATCCAAGCAAATGCCAGGCTAGTGCCCTGAAATTCATCATTGATTAGTCATCCCATTGTTTGATGCTATGTAAACTGAGCTACAGACAGCATCATTAAATAAACCGTAAATGATACTATTTCTGCTTGCTGAAGCGTATGGAGGAAAGAAGGTGTCATAAGATCTTCCAAGAACTTCATGTTTTGTCATGAATTTGAATTTCTCATCATTTATATGACATGTGTTTATCAATTTACTGGTTCTCAGAAAGGATTTTGTGTAAGTAAATGTGGTTTTCTTTTTGCAGCCAAGTCCGAAGTATCTAGTGTGGCCCATTGTATTACGAGTGTTGTTCATCCCATTTTTCCTGTCTTGCAACTATCAACCTCAGGTTGGGAGAGAGATTCCTGTCCTTATCAACAGTGATTGGGGATATTGGGCAGGTGCAGCCCTGATGGCGATCACAAGTGGTTACTTCAGTTCTGTTGCCATGATGTATTGTCCCAGGTATGAACAACTGCAGCTTATAGTACCATAGATTGTACAATGGGATCCCTGTGTAACTCCTTCTAGTTGTACAATGCAGTAACATTTAAATGGCCCTGTACCAGACGCTTCTCTTATATTTTTCAGTAATAAGTACAATGAAATACTGCATTGTTTATACTGGGCTTAGGCTGTGACCAGAAAAAATATTCACCAACTATAGGAATTTAACAAATGCAGGGACACTGAATCGGGATTTCACTGTACCATGTTGTAATGTGAGGGGCAGTTTGAAAGTAATGTTTACAAGTCATGCATTTTGAAGTGATTTATTGAATCCTTGATGTGGGTCATTAAAAGATTAAAGAGATGAAATGTTGGCTTACCACTGTGTTGTAATTATATTTCACTCTAATCTTTTCTGTGCATATGAACCTTAAAAAAGGCCCCCATAGCCTGTTACAGGGATAGCTTTACCTATTCATGTAAGTCACTGCCCTCATCTGTCAACAACTACCATGTTGAAATTTCATCATTAACCTTTATGAGCCGAAAGACACCGTATGGGGGCCTTTAAATTAAAGCCGAGTGGCCGAAGGACACCGTATGGTGACTCGCAGTCCATGCGTGCTCACTAAAATCTTATTTTAAGATAGAAATTCTTGTTCTACTTACATTATTTTTGGACACCAGCATCATCTGACTGCATCATCTAACTGAATGCAGAGTCTGACGTCGCAATTCATGCACTTTGTCCGTATGTAACTCTGTTTTCCACGCGAAGCGCACATACGCAACATCTGTCTCGTATTAGCAGGAAGTAGGCCAGTGATGGCTTGTGGTCTCCTCTATTCGTAATGCTTATAAAACATCACAATTTTAACTATGCATCATGGCCCCATTTCGCATGGAAGAAGCCAAAATTGAGAGGCCGCTCGTAAGTCACACCATTCAGAATGCAGTACAGTCGGTTATGAAGGGACGAGGACGCAAGGGGCATTCCAAGAACAGTAACTCTGTGTGGACAGTCTGACATACGTGTATAAACAGGCACAGTTTCATAAGGACAAAGAAGGATAAGAACTCGCCCACACTCATGTATACAAGAAGCCGACATGACTGGAGAATGTGCAATGAAAACAAACTTCCTCTCTCCTCCATATAAGTCATAGTCAGACCGTGTGTCAGCAGCATGCATTTATACTGCAGAAACGTTTTGTGCAGAAGCTTTATGCATTTTTGTGGACAGACGCTCAAAATTGGGGGGAATTTTTTTTTGAATCAGTGTAACAGTTTATACAGATTCTAAAATCTGTAAATTACAATATCTGAGTCTATATTCTTTCTAGATAAAAGCAGCGTTTATTTCGTTCGTTTATCACAAAAATTGCAGAAATCAGAGCATTTTCAGTAACATGATTACAATTTTTATTACTCTACAATGGCGGGCATTTAAATTAACTCCGGCCCACGGCCATTACCGGAATTTAAATGGCCTGTCCCTTAAAGGTTAACGTTGGCAATCCTGATGAAATGCATAGGGAGGCTGAATATGATGGTGATGCAGAAACAGTGCCGAAATATTCTCTGACCAGTGATGGTGAAATGATTACAGAAAGAGCAGGACTCATTCTGTTACAGACAGGGTGTGAGAAACTCATTTTGTGGTATGATAAATCCCTCAGTTTCACAGAAACAGACAGTGTGGAAAAATAGTTTACATGTTACACAATGATGTATTATTGACGATTCATTGAATCACTTCAAGATTGTTAACTCACGTTTGTAACTGCCTGTTGTGTGAAACTATATGAAAAATTACTTGTTGTTGTTGTTGATAATGATGTTCCTATTTTATGCTGAAAACCAGGTTTATGATGTCATGCCTGTTTGTGTGTGCCATCAGAAAGTTCCTGGACTCTTTCTGTTGTAACTGCCTCAGTGAAAGCATAAATGAACAGAGTACTCCAATGTTATGGATGTTCATGTTACAGAATTGGGCCCTTATGGTTAATAAAGCATAAGCTTATAATAATGATATATACCATAAATTCATCCTTAAATAATTTTTAATGTTTAATATATGTTACAATTTTTAGATATTCAAAATGCAAAACAACAACAGATTCAGCCCAAACTGTTTCATTTTTTAAGAAATAATTATTTGTTAAAAATCAAGGTTGCATACATGCATGTGTCTATGATGTAGTTGAGTATGTGACTGGTAAATTGCTAGCCTGTATGAATGGGTCTGCAACAAGGGGACATTCAGTAGCATGGTTGCTATTTCCATTTTATTTTATGTCAAACAGTGTATAGGCTGTGAAGTTCAGGCACAAGTATTACACATAAAAGAGCAGAGGAAGCACTTAAATTTGATGGGAAACTGGATGAAATGTGATTTTATTAAGTGGACAGAGAATTTCTATAGGAATGCATCAGAGTGATTGTAATTGTAACTGTGAACGAATTATCCAGTAAACAGCTTCATCTAATCTGGAACCCATTAATTTCTTGTCACGTTACCTGGATACATGACAGTATGGCTCATTTTCCAGAACACATCCTGTACATAAGTGGGGACATGCTGTGTGTAGTATGAGATCTGATCTTGTTCTAAATAATTGTCTGCTGTTACAGGTGTGTGGAGCCACAGTATGCATCTACGGCAGGAATGTTTGGTGGCGCATCACTTATCACTGGAATAGTTTGTGGAATTTTTTTCACAATGGTGATGCCATTAATTGTTAACACAACATTTTGGAACTTTCTATAGAATCTCTCACATGCTCATATAACTCAGCACAATATGTTATGATGAGTATTTCTGAAGTTGAAGGATCCTAGAATACAGCTACTTGTGTGGTGATGGTATGTTTCCTGGACTGTCTTTTATCAGAGGTGTGCAATGGAAGTGGTGTCTGGCTGGTGGATGGTGGTTTTTTGATATTTACCTACCAGCTGCTGGGCTGTGTGTGTTGCCTGACAAAGTTTCATTTGCCATTCATCCCTGTCACCCATCTTCATAACTTCATCAGACATTGTGCAGGTATTCACTTTAGTCTTACAAAACATTGCAATGATCTATTTAACAATGTATTTGTGAGATTTTGGGCTCAGATCTCAGCTTGGTGATTGCTTGTCCTGACTGAGATTTTTTTTGTGGTTTTCCTCATCCTCTCGAGGCAGTGTCTGAACTTCCACTTTTTGCATCATTTCCAGCTATAATTCCATTTGACACTATATTACCAAAAACTCTGTGGTTTTGATCCACAAGTGAACTATACTGACCAAACGACTGCTGCTTGTCGGTGAAGTTAGCGCCAACTTTAGCAGATAGAGGGTGTCGTGTGGTCAGTGCAACGAATCCCCACGGCCATTAATTTCGGTTTTCTAGACTGGAGCCGCTATTTCCTTGAAATAGCTCCTTAGTTATCCTCACGAGTCTGAGTGGACCCTATTCCAGACCCACTACTTCTCAGAAAATCTGGTAGCGCCGGGAATCAACCCGGACCTCTGGATCTGTAGCCAGGAACTCTGACCACTAGACCTCAGAGGCAGTCCTATATTACCAGAGCAATTGAAAAAATGTTACGCAAACTAAGCTTCAGTCTCAAACTGATTCTTGCAGGCTATGTTTATTACCATTTGGTTCATCCTGTATCCTTGTATCTCATGATTTTAGTTTTAAAGTCTGAAGATTAAAATATGAAATCCCCCTAAATACACACACACACACACAAAGTAATGTAATGGTAAGATGAAAGTTTTGAAATGGGAGATCTAGTCATTGATGGGAAGATAATATTAAAATAGATCTTAAACAGAGCGTGAACATGTGGATTAGATTCAGCTAGCCCAGTACAGGGTTCTTTGATGGGATTTTGTGTGTGCTAATGAAGCTACAGACAGAATTTCTTGATCACCTAAGCTTCTTAAGAAGGGCCCTGTGCAGTTAGTTATTAGAATTCCACAACTGAAATGTTTGTCCCTGTTGATACCAACTCTAATCCCAAATTTTACCCCCTTTTTTCACCAAAATAATTTTTGTTTGACATTGATGCAAGGTGGGATGGTGCAGCCAGTATAGTGACTGGCTACAGGCCGGACAGCTGAGGAATCAGAGTTTGAGACTTGATGGTGGTGAGAATTTTCTCAGCTCCACATTGTGCAGGCTGGTTCTGGGGACCCCCTAGCCTCCACCCCGCTGGGTACTGGCAGCTCGTTCCATGGGGGTAAAACATCTGGGTCGTGAAGCTAGCCACTCACCTTCAGTTAGTGCCAAGGTGAAGAATACATGGACATGTACATCCTATGCCCCATACCTCTTCATGGCATAGGACTTAGTTAACTAAACACAGAGACAAGTTTACCTTTACCATTGTTTGATGTTAAGAAAGCTCAGAAACTGGGGACAGTATGGGAAAGGAACACTGCCCCCATATATTGCATGATCTGTGGATGCTTTTGAGAAGCTAGTTAATACATATTACTAGGAGACAAGAAGACGGTACTAATGCTATATAGTATTAAGGTAGAAGTGACAGTATACATAGGAGTTTCTCCTTTTTTTGCATTAAAACAGGTAAAGGTTAAAGTGTTTGGAATATGGAGAAACATTTGCATATTTTGCCAAAGGTTATTGATGATTACAAGCCTCGACAGAAATTAAATGGAACTCTCCAGGTGATAGTCATTAGTGTCATCATGGGAATATATTCTTTGCTTCTATTTTCATTGCTTCTGCATTGTCTCCGCAACGGCTCCCTGTGCTTTGTGTTACCATGGAAGTTCCTATTCTAAACTCATGTGTTCGGCAATATGTTGCCTCGGAAATGCTCCTTCGCAACGGTCTGTTTGTATTCGCTTTGTCGCTGTTGGAACTCAACAATTTCCATTGTGGCCGTTGCGCGGCGATGGACATAAGGTAACGCGTCACAATATTAATACAGTAATTAGAGAATAATACACTCAAATATGACTCCAAGAGTCAAAACGTTTTAGCTTGAGTGTACAAGGAAGAATGCCCTTGAGACGTCTACTCTCACTGAATGCAGACGAATGACTAATGACAACACCCCTCAACTTTCACGAATGGACCTGCCCATCCACTGCACAGCTTTTCCTGGACTGTCAGCTCTAAGTACTAGAGCTATACACTTGTCTTATGGCTTTACTAGTGCGTCAAAACTCGCAGCATAGAAGTCTTTTTGACTGTTGTCTCAGCCATTTCTGCACCTCCATTTAAACCTCTTTGTCATCAGTGAAACATTTGCCACTGAGGTGGAACTGCTTACATGACACACACTTCCCACTTTAAATGGGAAACATTTCTATATGAATATCCATCACATTGAGTTCTTTAGACCAGAAAAGAATGAACAACAGAATTCTGCTCTTCGGTAGTATACTCCTCAAGAACAGTTTCCATTTTAACTACTGAAACCAGCCTCTGAACATGTGCATTTGTGTCTGCTACCTAAACTGTCATGAAGCTGAACTGTGCTACTACTTACTGATGCACATAGAAAACCCATTACATATGTTTTACTTACATTTGTGACCTGTGTACTGACTCCTTTGTACTATATCTTAATGATCATGTGTTTTTCATAGTTGGCTGTTAAATTTTTTTGCCACACAAACCCTAAAAATGAACATACTTGAAGACAGAGCCAGCCTCTTAAATGTTTTACATATTTTCTATACACACAGTGGATTGAGTCCGAAGAGTATATGGTGGTGATTGATTCTTCCTTGTACACCTCCCATGGAGTCTTTATACTGCTGGGAATACAATCCGTGAATTGCATAATCTTATATGGGAATATCTCCATAAGTAGCTGTATTTCAAATACTTTTATTTAAAAACTGCCTTTCACTACAGTTAACTTGTTCTTGAAGTCATTTGTTAATCTGTTCCTGTATGTTATTGTTTTCTTCATAAACACTAATCTGATTGTAGTGAAATCTGAGCAGTTCATCAGTATGTTGTGTAACTAGGGTTAAGACCTTACAAGAGTAAAAGTTGGGACAGTACAACAAGAAAAAAGAAAGCCAGTGATTTGAAATAATCTATGTTAATAGCTGGTGGTACTTTTTCAAAATGTTGGCTTCTTTGTTGCAGCTGACTATTGAAATGTGATGCCAAATTGTTGCTTATTGCTTTGATAATCCATTGACCAGTGGACAGCCTGCAAGCATGTAGAGATGCTCACTGTTGTTATGATACTTGTTTTAGTTATTTGTGCATTTACACTGTAAAACTTTTGTTTACTTTACAAAACTTTTAAAACTGGGAGTTGATATTTGGTGAATTTTATATATCTTATTTATGTTAGTGTGAGAACATCTGGAAAATATGATTAGTTCTTGTTCATGAAATGAACTTAAAATCCATGTGCATATTTCATTTTTGAAACAGTTCACTGGATTTTGATGAAGTTTGATATTGAGTGGTCTGAACTAATGTGTGACATACAAGACCTAATTTTCATCCGGCAGATATTTTGGGAATTACACAAATCAAAATTTCAGTCAAATTGATAACAGATTAAAGTTTAGAAATGCTCACTCTTATTCAATTTAGAATCTTTTTGCCTTCCTGTCTGCTATATAGGAATGTAAAGACAAAATATACAAAACTATAACCTTTCCCTCTTGTTTTGTATGAGTGTAAAACTTTTTTTTTTATTGCTAGTGAGGTGGGACTAAGTCCCTTGTACTGCGGCCACTTCTGGCCTATTGTACCAGCCCCAGATGATAGGTGAGGGTGATTGTGGAGCAATTGGTGGAATGAAGATTGGCAGGGTAAGCTGAAGTACTCTGAGAAAACCTGCCCCAGCACCACTTTGTCCACCACAAATCCCACTTGACCAGACCCGGGATCGAACCCGGGCCGCCATAGTCGGAAGCCAGTGACTAACCACTTGAGCTATGACACGGCCAGAGTGTGAGACTTAGTCTGACACATTAAGTTGAAGAACATAGACTGAGGGTGTTTGAGAATGGGGTGCTGAGAAGAATATTTTGGCCCAAGAAGGCGGTGTAAAATATGTATAGGGATCTGGGGGGCATGGATACAACATTGTGGTAACAAAAGCCAAATGAGAGAGATCGTTTGGAGCACATAGGCACAGATGGGAGGATAATACTAAAATGGGTCTTAGAGGAATAATTGAGAGGATGTGGACTGGATTCATCTGGCCAGATAGAGACCAATGGTGGGATCGTGTGAACATGGTGAAGAACCTTTGGGTTCCATTAGCGTTGGAAATTTCTTGACTAACCTCAATTCAGACTATGTCATTGTACAAGAAAACAGAGCATAATGTAAAATGTAGATCTTCAGTTTTTATATGAAAAATTTTTTTCAATATGTTATATATTTAATGATTTACAAAGAAAAATAACTTCTAATGTACAATGTGGTATCTTAGTAACTAAGAATTATGAAGAATGTGTTGGGGAAGATGTGTATAACTTTAGTTGCTGCCCCATCATATTATTTTGTAATGACAGCAGCTGAAGAAACCTAGTGAATCCTAGTCAATCCAGGATAGGGAACCACGCACACAGCTGTTACACAAGAGGTAGCAAATGTCATGTGTGTGTGTGTGTATATATATGTAGATTAGATTATATGAGGAAAGTATAAGCACCCATTTACCTGGGCAAGGGCCTATAGAGTTTTGTACTGAAGGAAAACATCATGACATAAGTCTCTTGCATTATGATGAGATTGTTGGTCAGATTCTCAAGATCTTTGTGCCTCTTCTGAGGTGTAGTACTGGTTGTTTTTTTAGTAAATTTGACACGTTCACAGCACTGTGCCTCATGGGGACCTGAGCTCCGCTTGCTGCAGAGCGCATGCAAAAATTGCCAGTGGCTCAGCCTGCTGATAACATTTGGAATGAAGGGAAGTTCTTACATTTGTTCACAGATCACAGGAGGTGTTGAAAATGCTGACCCTCTACATGTAAATATATTTTGCAATTAAATTTTTCGTTAAAACACATGTATAACAATCCTTGCACACCAGGCACCAACTTTCACTGGATGGCTTCAGCAATTGTGTTGCCATTCTTGCACTAGACTTTGACATTCCAGCCTCATGAGCTAGACATTTCAGTGATTATTTAGGTGTTGGGCCCATATATCATCTAACTTCTCAGTAAGCACTCGGTGCTTAAGAGTCCCATTGTTTTAAGTTTATTCACCAAATTATGAACTGTCTGCTGGGAACTCTTTCATCTTGAAATTTTCGTTGACATTTCCAAGCAGATCCATATTTCACGTAGGTGTCATACAGAAATAC